CGCGCGCCGCGGCTGTGTATGCGGAGAACAACAGCGGGGCCGAACCCGCTGCACCAACTGTCTGGCTTCACCCGCGCGCGTGCGCACGCGGTGCTGGAGAGACCAGGGCACCGCCCCGCCGTCCCTGAGGGCTGGTTCTCGCGGGAACGCCCGAGGCGGCTCGTTACTGCTGCCGTGGGCGGGGCCGTGCGGAGGCGCGGCGTGCGGAGTGAGGATTCAGCCCTGGGGAACGCCGGGCCGGGCAGGTGGACTGGAGTGCTTGCAGAACTGCTAGGAATTTATCTCAGACTGACCAAAATTCAAGAATGTAACCCTTAAGGATGAGAAAATATCGGGGAATGCTGATTAATGCGGATCACGCAAGCGGACTATATGTATAATTCAGACGGGGAGAGGGGACCAGAGGGAAAGCGCTTCCATTGCGGAGAAGACCCGCTAATAAAGGTTGACACAATTATAGAAGCAGAAAATCATTTGATTCTGGCAGAAATCACGAGTGGGCAGTTGAGGATATTCTCGTGATTTCAAAGTATTACCCCATAGATTACTAAGGACAAAGTACGCTCTCATCAAAGAAATCACCCTTAATGAAGCGATCAAACAACATACCAGGATGGCCGACTGGCCTCCCAGCTCTGATGGGAAGCAACAAGAAGCATGCAAAGATGATATTCTTGCCAAAAGGGAGAAATATGTCTCCGTTCAAAAGGAAATCATGAGACAACTCTAGATTGAGGGGCCTGCAATACACCTGTCCAGTCTTTCCAGAAAGTCAATGTCACAGGACCAGCAGTTGGTACAATGGTTATGTCGCTAGACTCCTACATGGCTAACCAAAGTTCGAGTCCGGGACCCTGAGGCTTGACACACACTGGACGAGTATGCTGGTCGCCCAAAATCCTAGAGGAGAATGGAGGAGAAGGGATTGAAGAGTGGCCACACCCCCTGGGGAGTGATTTCTTAATTTCTGTCTCTGTGTCTCTCTGTCTCTATGAGCAAAAAAAATCTCTCTTAAAAAAAAAAAGTCTCAGGCACTAAAAGCAATGTGTGTTTGTAAATTGGACCCTGACTAAAACAGATGTTGAGGAACATTTATTGGGACAATTGAGGAAATTCGAATGTATACCATATTAGTATTGGAACAATGTAAACATTTTATATTGTTTATACAAGAGACTGTATTTGGGTTTTGCACAAACGGGTTTGCAAAATGAAGTAACAGTCGGTGAATCTGGCAGAAGCTATGTGTGTTCATTGCACTCTACTCGAAATGTCCCAGAAAGCTTTTACTTTTTCAAAATAAAAAGTGAGAGAGGAAAGCAAACCCCAGGAGTCTGTGATCTTTGGTTCGCGGTATCAGGTATCAGGTTGCTACTTGAATCGGCGGGCACATATCGTTACTTGCCGGCTGCGTGTAAGGCATTTCAAGTTAATAAGCATAAGTGAGATAAATGCCCCCAAGGGACTCGTAATGTAGGCTTGGACGACTCTGCCCAGTGAGGCAGAATGCGGTAAATGTCATAGGCGAAGCACTGGAACCGAAGAGCCCACATGAAACGACTTTGGAATCAAACGAAAGATCGGCCCCGCCAACTCGGTGGTCTCCGGCAAGCAGCTGCTCTCTTTTAAAATTTATTTTTCAAAGACATCTTTTTTTTTTTAACTTTTTGTTTAGTTTATTTATATCCTCTGTGAGTAAGAGAGACAGAGACAGAGAGACAGCATCCCCAGCAGGATCCTGATACCACGATCCACCCCAGCTTCACCCAGCTGTGGGTCATGGGAACAGGTGTCCCCAGCATACTCAGGAGGTCGCCAGACACAAAGCCAGAAGCTTTGCCTGCGGGCCAGCCTCTCAGAGTGTCGCGTTTTCACCGTTGGGCCAGGGTTCAGTCCCAAGCAACCTGATCTGCCTTTGCGTCAGTCCCACCTCTGTGAAACAAAACCAAGTCACCTCTACTCAGACAACTGTAGTGGCTGCTAAAGCAAGTCCTGTACCCTTAGCGATGATTTACCAGGCCTATGAAAACGTTCACGCGTGGATGCAAATTCTGGTGCTGGAGGCGTTTAAGCGAATACAATCGAAGCCCGCATTCACTCCTACACGTAGGACTGTTAGAGCCAGGCAGTGCTTCGGCTCAGACCTGACCATCGACATGCCGTTCCTCATCCTTTATTATCCAGAGGTCTTTCTTCTGAGAAAGAAAAAAAATAATAAAGTAAACACCTGACAGCACGAATCCCAGGTCACCTGGAGGAGATAGAAGAGTCTGTTTTTGGAAAATAGCTGCCCTGGGGGAGAACCACTCCTTTGCTTCCTGTGTCTCTGGCCCGCCAGGTTGGCTGGGTCCAGACTGGCGCTCCTTGTCCACCTGGAGACGCAGCTTCGCCACCTCAGCCCTGCAGCCAGTTCCCATTGCCAGCAGTGGGGTGGCAGATACGAGGACGTGCAGGAAAGGCTCGTCAGTTCCAGTCCTGATGGCGTGGCGCTCTGTGCCTATGAAATCGACTGAGTCCCAGAGTTTTAGAGCAGGAAGGGAGCCCAGATCCTTTCCTCTGAGGGACCTTTGCTAAGTGCCTGCTGAGTCCGGGGCCCCCTGCTCAGAGCCGGTGTCCGGGAAGCACCCACATGCCACGAGCCATATGAACTCAGAGGGCCCAGGGAATGACGCCCCGGTGAACAGGCTCCCAGGGCAGGTCATCTGCTCGAGTCCAGGTCACCTGTGGTCAGCCCTTGTTGCCTTTTTTGAGAGAAAAATCTCCGAAGCTAGTGTAGTTTTACTGGCAAAAATGTAAAAAGCAGCCGAGCACAGACACCCACTGTGAGAAGCGGAGGCTCACTCACCCTGGGTCTGAGAATCCCTGGGTCTGAGAATCTTACTGGATTCTCAGACGGGTCGTTTCATTTCATTCATTCATTTCATTAAACAAACGGCCCGCGTGCTTCTTTTCAAGGACTTCGAAATTCTGACAAGGGCTGGGATCCTCCTTACCCAGCAGCTGGTGACAGCTTTGAAGAGGAAGAGGTGCAGACGCACGTGGTCACAGCAGGACAGCACCTAGCAGTCCCTGGGAGAGGACCGAGGTTTCTCTGGGGAATGACGTCTCAGGATGGCTCCAGTGGAAGGGAGGGAAGTGGCTTCCAGAGCAGAGGGACAGAGAGATCAGCCACCTGGCTGTCATGCCCTGGAAGTCCACGTCTGCGATTCATCTGAAGGAAGGAACAGTGTATTTGTGAGAAGATTTACCCTGGATAGCCTGAATGGTTTAAAGTAGCAACAACCTCTGTGGCCTACATTTAGAGGAGCCACTCAATCAATCATGATACACCCGTATTCTGGGTTATGGTGCAGTCTCGTGTTCTGATGATATTCGATGAACTGGGAGAAAGGTGCAGTGGGGGAAATGGAGGAAAGAAAAGTGTTTGCACAGGGCCAGCAAGTGGCATGGAGATTAAGGTACTAGATCCCACATGGTCAGCTCCACTGTTCAAGTCCCAGTCTCAGTGGTTTAAAATAAAGCCAGGTGCGTGTACGTGTGTGGCCAAAATCCCAGGAGGAGATTGGAGGAGAAAGGACTGCAGCATGGACATTCCCCTGGGGAGGAGATTTTTCACTTCCCTTCTCGCTCTCTTTTTTTTTTTTTCTCTCTCTCTCTCTGGCAAGCACAGTCACCCTATAGCAAAAACTAAAAACGAAATAACTAAAAAGTGTAGGTACAGTGCAGTCCCAATTGTATGAGTGTGTGAGTGTGTGTGTGTGAGCATGTGTGTATGAGTGTGTGTGTGAGCGTGTGAGTGTGTATGTGAGTGTGTGTGTGTTAGAATTTTACTTTAAGAAGCAGAAGGGAGTGACAGACATCGTGTCAACCTCTGAAGGGCAGACAACCGGGGCTGCACAGCGGAAGCGACTGTGAGTAGGTGCAGGTATTAGTATCGGCCAGCGCTGTGGGCCGTGCCAGCTTATGAAATAAACCCTTGCGGGTTTGTTAACGGCCTGGCTTATGAAACAAACCCTTGCGGCGTGCATGTGCGTACAGAGCCCTGCACAGGAAAGGACTGGGGATTTTACCACAATTTGGCACCAGCCGTTCCCACTAAAGAATACATCTGACTTTTATTTTCTTTTTTGCACTTGTATGTATTTTCCCAAATCTCTAACATTTGGAAATGTGTATATAGTTTTTATAGTTAGGAAAGTTAAGTCTCGCTTTCCTGAGGTGAGGAGCTACCTAGATTTAGGACAGAAGTGTTGTTCCATGGGGAACGTCCACTAGAAATTGAAATCCCACGCCTGGAATTTCCGGGGGGTTTTCTGAGTGCCCACCTCACCCTTGACCACAAGGGGGAGCAAGAAGACACGGTAATGGTAGGACTAACCCCACAGGGGGCAAGGCTGTGATTCGGTCCTTCTCTTCATCCCCCGAGCCTCAACCAGCGATTTTTTGTTTTGTGTTGTTTTAATTAGTTCGTTTATTTTATCGAGAGAGAGTATAAGAGAGACTCCCAAAGGGTCTCGTTACTCTGTGATCACTGCCTGCCGCACCCATGCGCAGCCTTCCAGCCAGCCGGGAGATCGTAAGGTTATGACCACCTCGTTAGGAGGAAGTGGGACGGGACAGTGTATCTGGGGCCTTCCCGCCCAAACGGCAGCGGCTGACGACATGTGTTCATAGAGCTGCTTTTATGCTGGCTGTGGCCATGCGCCACATGAAGGTTAGGGTACAAATCATTTCATCTAAATTACTTCCTAGTGAAGAACTTCAATCCATTTACACAAAGGATAATTTAGGGGAAAAGAAAGTGACAAGGGAGCCAGCAGGTGGCATGGAGGTTAAGGCAGCTGGATCCCACATGGCCGACTGTGTGGTTTGAGTCCCAGACCCAGCAGCTTGAAAATCAAGTTGGGGGGGGCCAGTAGGCCACTGGACTTCCATGTGGCCAACCATGGTTTGAGTCCTGGATCTGGTGGCTTGAAATTCATGCTGGCCACTTGTGCACGCCTGCCCCAAATCCTGAGAGGAGAATGGAGAAGGAATCGTAGCATGGCCATCCCCCCTGGAGGGCGACTTCTCACTTTCCATCTGTGTGTCTGGCTCTCTATCCAGCATGCGCACATGCCGTAGAGCAAAAGTCTCTCTAAAAATAAAGAAAATCAAGTAGGGCTCATGTATGTGTGCCCAAAATCCCAAGAGGAGAATGGAGGAGGCGATCGTGGTGTGGTCATCGCTGTCCACCACCACCACCACCCCTGGGAGGAGGCAGTTTCTCATTCCCCCTCAATCTGTCTCTCTCCAGTGAACACACGTACCTATAGTAAACTAAAAAAAGAAAAGAAAAAGGTGACGCACTTCTACAGAACACAGTGACAGGTAGCGTAGCCACAGGTCAGGCCATTTGCCATGTTAGGGAGGGCCTCAGTTGGTGAGCCATGCATGGAGTGTGGTGTAGAGGAAAGAAAAACTTTGTAACAAGGAAACTTCCTTCAGAGCCTGGGCCTACAGCTCACTAGCAGTGTGACCTGGGGCAAATGACTAGTCCCCTCTGAACCTAGTTGTCTTCATTTTTCAAATGGAAACCCCACAAGTTAACTCCGGGTGGAATGGGGGTTCTTTGGAGGGAGGCTTTGGCCACAGGTAGCTTTCCTTGGCCAAGGTCCTGAGGGAGCCCAGACCCTCCCAGAGCGACAGCCGCACAAGAGTGGCCAGGAGGACAGAGAGACCCAGAGGGCAGGGCCGACTCGGATGGAGAAGCCTGCTAGAACGCGTGAGCAGCCCTCCAGGGCACCCCAGGGAAAGTCAAGGGCCCTCGTCCCACAGGAGGGTGCTCCAGGGCTCTGGTGCCCTGGGCTCACGGCAGCTGGAACACTTCAAAATTCACTCCTTCCAAACTAGGACTCCAGGAAGGTTTGGGGTTTTCATGAACAAAGTAGGGGACAGTGAAAAAGCGGGGGCTGTCACCCCTTATTGTTGAGGGGAAGAGTCAGACCCCATTTGGCCTTCCTCTCAGAGACTGGAGCCGTTCAGGTCCCTTTTGGCTCTCTCTGTCCCTGACGCAGACTTTCTGGAGTGTGAGGGTCACCCGGCAGTGCCCACTCCCTGTCCCCAAAGTCATTCGCAGTACTGTGGGGGGGGATCTACACCCCCAAACCCTCCTCCACAGCCTCCAGCCTCCCACACAGCAGACACCACAGGAAGGCCCTGGGCTAGGTACCCGGACCCTTGAGATCACAACTTGTCTCCAGGGTGCCCGGTGGTGACAGACCACTCCCTTCCGGTCTGAAATGGCACCCAAACATCAGTACCTTGGAGAGGACATTGGGATTAAAAGAAAAGAGAGCATCCGTGGGGTAGGCCTGGGCATGCCGAGGGAAGGTAAGATAAAGAGAATAAGGAGAGGTGAGGACAAAGAGAAGGAGTCGATCTGTGAGATGGCGTGCAGAGATGCAGGTGCAGGACTCGAAGGACCGGGAGGAGAACAACCCGGGCCCCACACCGTCGTGCAGGGCCCTCTCCGCTGCCCTCAGCTCCCGCACTGGGCTCTGCTGAACTCCGGTGGGTTAAGGGGTGACACACAGTGAGCCCCACGAATGTCCCAGTGTGAGAGAATTTCAGAGACCCACAGCTGCAAAAGCCGGGCAGTCGGTCAGGCCCAGCGGAGGTCATACCGGAAGGAGGTGCTTCTGCACGGGCTAGGGCCACACGGGAGGCCCAGGCTCCGACCCTGGAATGACACAGACAGGCCAGGCAGTTGCAGGCACCTGTGGTCCTGGCTTTCTGGGGAGCTCAGGCTGAGCACTGCGACAGGAGACCCCCTCAGCCCAGCTGCTGGGGCGGCCCACGGTGTACTGCCCTGCGGTGCTGGGACCACAGGGCCGACCGCGGTGGGATCCTCTGATCGGTCTGAAAACACACCGGGCACATGAGGGCACCCAGACCTTGAGGAACTGGGGGGCCTGGAGAAAGGGGCTTGCGGTGTGATGAGCCCCTGTGGGGGCTGCTGCTCTCTCTTCTTTCTCTCTCCCTCTTCTTTCCTTCTGTACCCTTTCTCTCCCTTCAGAAAACAGTGTTCGGCCACATAGTATTTTAGAAACAAAATATGATCATACCCCCAGTTTTTTTTTTTTTTTTTTAGAGGTTTTTGCTATAGGGCACGTGCATTCGCCAGAAAAACAGAGATATACAGAGAGACAGAAAGCGAGAAATCACCCCTCGGGGGGATAGCCACGCTACAATCCCTTCTCCTCCAGTCTCCTCTCGGGATCTTGGGCACACATGTACCCAGCGTGAGTTTAAGCCATCGGGTTTGGGACTCGAACCATGGTCGACTACATGGGAGTCCAGCGACGTAGCCATTACACCAACTGCTGTCCCAATACTCCCAGTTTTTAACAACACCACATTTAGCTACGCGTGCTCTGGAGAGCAGGGCTGGACGCCAGCACTGCCGGAAGGACCAGGCCACGCAGTTGCAGCAGCCTGACCCTGGGCCACCAAAGGCCCTGCCCCCTCCCAACTCCTGCCCTGGCCCCTCGGTGGCACTGTGCTTCCCAGCGGGTGTGACCACGGCCAGCTGCTTTTCTCAGTGCTGGCCTTCCCAGAGCCACCGTGGTCCCCTACCCCCAGGGTCTGTGTGACCTGAGTGTCTCCGCCATGGCGAGGTGCAGGGGAAGGCGTCCCCCAGTAAGATGGGCAGGCGAGGGATTCAGGGCTCATGAAGTCTCAGGGAGGTGGCAGAAGCCATCCTTGAGGGGGGAAGGCCAGGGAGCCTGCACCATCCCCCTAGATGCGGTGTGGGGTCTGGGGGCCTGGGAGTCCTGCTGGGCAGGGCCAGGCCTTAGAGTGGCCATGCTGCCACCATATCCTAACGCCCAGGAGTCTGGGCAGGTCCTGGAGATGGAGAGTAGGAGCGGAAGAGGCCTGTGGCCTGTCCAAGGCGGCGCAGTCCCTCACGCTGCCTGAACCGCATCTCGCCCGGCCATCGCCGCAGTTTAATCACCAGGGGCTGACACCCTGCTTCCCTCCGGAGCGCAGCGCACCCTGCCCCGCCAAGAGAGAGTCGCCCCTGCTCCCAACAACACGCCCCTTCTCATCTTAATTTCATTGAACATTTCCTGTGAGCCGTTGCCAAACGCCTGCTCCTTTCGGTTACTTTGATTTTCTTCTAAGAAACGCAAAATTTATGGAAATCAAACTGGTTTTGACACAGCAGCCATAACAAATGAGAGTTCCGTTCCTGGCGGACATAAATCATCGCGCTGACACAGCCTTTGACTCGCTGCAGCTGGGACTGGGGAGGAAACAGGTGTCGGCGCCCAGGCCGAGTTCGCGGGCTCCTGGGCCGTGCACGGTCCCGCCGGCGGAGCAGACCTGCAGTGCTTAACCGGAACCCGGGAATTTCGTCCCGCGGGCGGGGAGGGGGGTCCTTTCCGCTAGGCTTAGGCAACTGCTCCGTTTTGGTGTTCGTTTGGCCAGGTGCTCACTGCGGAGCTCAGAGGATCCGCTTGTGCTTCAGTTACGCTGTAATCCTTGCCAGGGGGCGTCCAAATGGCAGCATCTGGGCCAAAACTGCACGGGAGGGCTTCCTTTGTTCTGAGGCGGTTCAAAAGCCAGCTTAGGTGCGAGGGGGCGCCAGGCGTGCTGTCCAGCGGCTGCAAGCGCGGCCTGGCCCATCTCAGGGCGGCGAACCTGCATGTCAAGCAGGAGCGTTTCAGAGCTTTCCACGCGCCCTCCTTCTCCTGGCTCTACTCTGCCCGGCGTCACCGCAGCGCCCAGCCGGCGTCCTGCGGGAACGCTGGGATTGTTCCTGGGAAAGCAGATGGTAGATGGGAACGTGTAGTCCGGGTCACTGTCCAGGAAGCACGCCGCACCTCTGCTCTCCTTTACATTGCTCTGGGACCAGCAGATGGCGGAATGGTTCCTTCACTGGACTCCCACATGGCCGACCAGGGTTCCAGTTCTGGCCTGGAGGCTTGAAACTCAGGGTGTATATGCGTGGGTCCCCAAAATTCCAGAGGAGAGTGAAGAAGGGGTTGCACCTCGGACATCCCCCCTGGGGGTAATTCCTCGCTTTCTGTCTTTCTGGGAAGCCCAGGAGCCCTATAGCAAAAATTTATCTCTAAAAGTAAACAATTATGGCGGGTCATGGTCAGGGTAGGCAGGGGTACAAAGGAGACCAGGGAGCCAGCCTGGAATCCAGCCTGCTCTCCCTGATCCCGAAATGCACACACCCTCCCCCCAGTGCTGAGACAGAGACAGAGACAGAGACAGGGCCAGACGCGGAGGCGGGTGGGGGAGTCTGGTCCTCCACGTCATCCATCCTGTTTGTCACCCTCAGGGGTCAGGTGGCTGCATCCACTCCTCTCCTCTCTGGGAGGGAAATGGAGAACACTGTTCAGCATTCGGGCAAGGCCGTGGCCCTTACATCTCATAGTAGCAATCAGGGACAGCGCCATGGCCACGTCGCTAAGGCCGCGTTGTTAAGGGAGCCGGATCCCACGTGATCAACTGCAGTTCCAATCTGGCCCCAGTGGTTGAGACATGCACTGGGCACATGTGTGTGCCCCAAGTCCTGACAGGATGGAGAACAGAGACGGCACTGCGGCATATTTGGAGACCTGTTCTGATTAAGTCCACTGAACAAGTGAACAGATCCCACTCTGACGGTAGGGCCACCACAGAAGCCTAGTTTATGCGGATCTGTTCAACTCAGTAGGAAGCTTGAGATTTTTATAAATCCCTTTACTTTCCTAACGTAATAGTGATAACTTCAAACAGCCCCATTTTCACTTTTTTAAGGAGAGTAATTTTCCAGTTGACACTGTCAGAACAGGTGCGAGTATTGTTCACACTTTTAAGCTGTTAGGATTTTCACGTCTGGACCTCTGAGCGAGTCCGAAGGCATTTCTCCGTCTCCTGTGTCCTCACTTTCCAAAGCACCTTTAACGCGTCTCCGCGTACTTTGTCACTCCTTAGTTTGGGGCATCCTCCCAGGTACTGGCCAACACGATTCACTCTGAGCATTGAGCTGTGAAAACAGATCTTAGAGGAGACCCCTCCTCCCCCAGGATTACTGAAGGTAGGAAATGCAGGTGATTATCGAGTCTGCCTTTGATACAGACATCCTGCTCCTCTGCTCGCCCTTTGAACTATCTTTGATATGCAATAATTACGAGGGATTCAGCCCCTGGAGGAGCCTCCGCTGGGGCCCTGCCTCCTCTCTCCTTCTATTGAGCCCTTGTTTTGAACTATTGATCAAACAGATTTGAAGGGATCTGTTGAAGCCTGTGTGGGGTAAGAAGGAAGGAAACGAGGGGGGCGGGAGGAGGAGAGCGATGAGGGGGGCACATCTGGCTATAAATAGTTTCAGAAGGAACCTGCCGGTCACCCCAGGCCCCTCCTATCGCACACACCTCACTTACACGGGAAGATTTGCTTCTCTTTCAGAAAAGCGCCCCCAGACAGCTCGCTGTTTCCAGCCTGGCCAAAGCCGTGTGGTGGGCTTAGAGCAGCCCAGCTTCGGAGGACGCCTGAGCACAGGGAGCCCGGGAGACCAGGCGCGTGCAGGATGCTGCTGGTGGCCTTGCTGGGGCTCAGCTGGTTCTGCTGTCCCCTCGGCGCTCTGGTTCTGGACTTCAACAACATCAAGAGCTCCGCCGATGTGCAAGGCTCTCGGAAGGTAAGGGACGCTGAGCTGTCATATGGAGGTGTAAGTCACGTATTCCGGTCAGTGCGTGTAAGTCCCCCCTAGCAGGTGGATGGAACTGACGGGGGGCTGGGATGGCACTCAGGGAGATCTGACTGCCTTAGTATTACCGTACTAAGGGGACTTCAAAGGGCTTGTGGGGATGTGGAATTAAAGTATGAGTGTTTATTTTGGTGCAAAAAAGTTTCGAGGGCCAGCCCCATAGTCCAGTGGCAAACGGAGCCAGACTGCATATGGCTGACCACAGTCTGAGTCCTGGCTTGGTGGCTTGGACATGACGGCGGGCAGCGTGTGCATACATGTGTGCATGTAAATGTGTGTGCATGTGTTCATGCGTGTGTGTGTGTGTGCTCAGAATCCAGACAGGATGGAGAAACGGAGAAGGAACTGAGGCCTGACCGCCCTCCACGGGGCGGGCCTTCTCTCTCTTGCTCGCTCTCACTGGTGAACGCATGCGCACCCTCTGGGAATTATAAAAAAGTAAACGTTTTGAGATCCACGTAGAGGTTTTCATAATGCGCACTTTACATGGACTTTGTGGAGATTTCCCCCACGCTGAACAGCTTGTTGGGTCACTGAGTTATAAGTTTGCCTATAAACTAGAGTAAACTCACATTTAGAAAGCTGCTTCAGTGTGCCAGATTTTTTATACATGATATCTCATTTAATCCCCCTTACAGCGTGAGATAGGAATCATACCTCCTCATTGGAGACAAATGACTCAGAGATGCTAAGACATTTAACCAAAGTCGGACGGCCAGTAAGTGTGGACTTGGAATCTAAGAGCAGGATGCCGGGTCCCTGTCCCTTTCAATATGCATTGCATGGGAAAGTTTCAATGGTGATGAGGAAAATGGATCATTTCTCTGCAGTTGAGGCAGCCCTAAACATGCAAGGGCCCTGCACATGAGCAGGGCTTACCAAGGCAAACAGATCAGTGACCTCCTGGAGGGAAAAATCAAATACAGACCCAGCCATGGTGGCCAGCACTGCTAAGACACTGTGCTGCACAGGCCGGGACCCATGGGAGTCCCAGGTTCAATTCCTGGTCCAGCCTAGAGGCTGGCACAGTGGCATATGTCTGTAACCCCAGCAATCTGGTGGGGAACTGTGGCAGGAGAAACACAGACTGGCAAGATCCTGTGTTTAAAAAGTGTTTCGGCTTGAATCAAATAGAAATGCCATAAACAGCAATGTGTTTCATTGAACTCAGCATGACTCCTAGAGTTATAGCAATCCACTGAAAATCTTCATCTGTGAGAGACAGGCAGGAAAACATTTTCTCCTGTTTTCACAAAGTGCACACGAAAATGAAATTCCGAGTTTTTAGAGTAAGACAATTTTTCAAACACAACCTTCGTGGTGCCTGGGACTCTTCACGGGCGAGTTGACCTCCCTTTGCAGGAGAAAACCAACTACACGCCCAAGTAAGAAGCTGCTCAGGTCAGCCTCAGCTTGCAGAGCACAGCTATGGCTATTTGGCTTCCTCTGCCCCCCACCCCACGCCCCTGCCCTGAATAAAAAGGCACCTCGCATCAGACTGCCCAACCTTAAGACAAAGTTCCCCTGGCAGAGTTCGCAGTGTCTGTCCGACAAGGACTGCAACGCCAGGAAGTTCTGCCTCCAGCCCCGCGACGAGAAGCCCTTCTGCGCGACGTGCCGAGGCTCCCGCCGGCGGTGCCAGCGCCACGCCATGTGCTGCCCAGGGACGCTCTGTGTGAATGGTAAGCGGTCCCAACCCCAGGGGGCTCCGCTGCAGCCAGCAGTGGCTTTTAAACTGAAGGCAGCACCGGAAGCTCAGAGACTAGACTATTCCTAGGTTCCTGCTCTGAGTCCATTTATGCAGCTGCTCTTTGTGATGAAATACATCATGTATTTCCCGGCAACAATGCGCCCCAGTGACTTGGAGACCCTAACTGCAAAAGATTCAAGTTGGAGCCATTCAGCTCCTCCTGCTCTCACTCGGGGTCCACGAATTATGTAACCATCTTCTTCGCCACAGGAGAGTGTGTAAATATTCAGTGTGCGTCCCAGAAATCTAGAAAGTTAGGTAGTGAACAGAGGCAGCCGTGCTGCCCAAGTGTAGAACAGCGGGGTGATTCCACGTCTTTGGTCTGATCCTTGTGAAACTCTCGTCGCCCCCGCTTGGCCCTCAGACGTCTGCACCGCGGTGGAGGATGCAGCCCCAATTTTGGAACGGCAGGCTGATGGCCAGGATGGCACGGACACCAAGGGGACCCATGAGCACCCACTTCAGGAGAAGCAGCCCCAGCAGAAACCAGACACCAAGAAATCACAAGGCAGTAAGGGTAAGAGGTGTGTCCTGAGCAAGCGGGAGGGTCAAATTGCTTTCGTTCTGCACGTGGAGACCCAGGGAGCACGTCCCGGGGGTTGTCTCTTCCTGAAGTTGTCGGGGTCACGGGGCAGTGGCAGGAGGGTGGGAACAGGCCGGGAGGGCAGAGGGCTGTCCTGGTGTTGGATGGCGTAGTGAGCAACTCAGTAACTGATCAACTACGCTCACACCTCTTCTTACAGTCTGACTCGACAGATGAGACTCCCTTTCTAGCAATAGATCCTTAGGATGCAAAATATAGACCGAAGGGGCATTCCTCTTCAGCCACGTACGGAATATGGAATCACCAAGAAGTCTCCACCATGTGTTTGCCATAGGATGCATGTGCATGCTGGAGAGAGAGAGGGAGAGAGAGCGAGAGAGGGAGGGAGAGAGGAAAAGTGAGAAATTACACCCCCCCCCCATTGGGGATGCCATGCTGCAATTCCTTCTCCATTCTCCTCTTGGGGTTTTGGGCACACACACACACATACAGTGTGATTTTCTTTTTCTTTTTTAAAAAGAATTACTTTATTTAACTTTATTTATCTGGTTTAATTTAACCAGAGAGGGACAGAGAAAGAGAGAGAAAGCAAGCTGCTAGGTCCTGACTCGAATAGTGGTCTGCCATGTGGGAGTCCAGTGCCCTTAACCACCACACCACCCGCGGGCCCTCTCCCAGCATGATTTTCAAGTTGTGGGGCCCAGGCCTCAAACTGTGGTTGGCCATGCGGGAGTCCAGCACCTTAAAGACCATACCACCTGCTGACCACAACTTTGCCTTTTATAAAACTGTAGTCTCAGATTCCAGTCTCTGCTCCAACACGGCCAGAAGGTTGGAAGTGGTATGCTGGCCATTCTCGTGTGGTCTTCAGGATAGCCGGCTCCTTTCTAAGTAACGGTCTTTCACCAATGTAAATCTCGCCGAATAAAACATTGCTAAGTGATTCTGATGACTTCATTTATCTGGAAATCCCATCTTTCCTTGACGAATTTATTTACTTCATAAGACAAACAATAGAATCTATAAGGTAGGGCTGGAATTTCCATTTCGTGACTGCCGTGAGCCCCAGACCCAGCTCTAAAGAGCTGCCTGGTGCTTTCTTCTCTCTGTGGCCTTCGGGCCAGACCTCACATCCTGTCCCCAGCATACCCCCATGCACCACCGCCCCATTGGTCACTAAACCATATTTACCTTGTTGCAGGACAAGAGGGAGAAAGCTGTCTTAGAACCTTCGACTGTGGCCCTGGACTTTGCTGTGCTCGTCATTTCTGGACTAAGATCTGCAAACCGGTCTTGCTAGAGGGACAGGTGTGCTCTCGGAGGGGGCATAAAGACACTGCTCAAGCCCCAGAAATCTTCCAGCGCTGTGACTGTGGGCCTGGCCTCTCCTGTCGGAGTCAAGCAACTGGCGGTCGACAATATGCTCGGCTCAGAGTATGCCAAAAAATATAAATATTTCCAAATAAAGAACCCTTATTGTAATCAAACAGGATTTCGGACATTCATTTGAAAACACAAATCTCTTTAAAATCAAGTCTCGTAGCAACAGAAATAGCTTGGAACTAGAGAAGCATGGGCTGCTGCATTGTAAGGAATGGAAACAATAGCTTTGGCTTCTTTCTGCAGAAAGGGATGTGTTTCTACAACAAAAAATTCTCACCTAATACTCAATTTGTTCAAATACTTTTTTTTTTTTTGCTAGAGGGTGTGTGCACTTGTGAGAGTGAGAAAGAGAGGGAAAGTGAGAAAGTACCCATGTAGGGATGGTCACACCAAAACCCCTTATCTATTTCTCCTGGGATTTTAGGCACGTACACACACACACCTAGGATATTCCTCGTGCTGCCGAGTCCAGGATGTGAACATGCAGTTGGCCACGTGGGATCCGGCCACCTTGACCACCACGTCACTGGCTGCCCCCAGATACATTTTTTAAAACTTGAAATTAGAGGACCAGCCACCGTACGCTGGCAATAGAAGGCCCTAAAAGGCTGGAAGCCGTATGACTGACTGCAGGTTCAAATCCTTGGGTCAGCCTGAAAGAACACCAGGTACCCGGCATGGATGCCCCAATCCTGAGGGCTCAGAGGGCTGGGGAAGGGGATTCCAGCATGATGACCCGGTTGAGGGTGCTTCTCCCTTTCATGTGTGCATGCACACGCGCTATCATTACACTGTGATGCTTCGATACACATGGAGTGAGACCATTACTGCCAGTAGGCTAATTAACATATCAGTCTCCACAGACAGCCTTAAGTAATTTCTGATGAAGGGCTGACACTTGATAGTATCATAGGGGGAAAAGTGATGGCATGTGAAGTTAAGAGTAAGTGAATTCTTGAATCTCACCAGGGAAAATAATCACAGAAAACATTATTATTTTTCTACAAAAACCCTAGTTTTTATTACCCTGCATTTCTTGAACTCACTTTCAGAAGAAAAGGATATTTCACTATAAAATCATTTCACTACAAGTTAATACTGAAGTAAGATTCAAAGATAAAAAATATTTCATGTGTGCATGTTGGCAAGTTACAAACCATTTTCACATCATTTGTTTTCAGCAGCTTGACTTAACCATTTGATAACTTTTTATATTTTGCATTTATTTTTTACATTTCAAAGCTAAGTACTTTCAAGTGGTATTTGTACTTACATATTTTAACCATTTATATTTAAGCTCTCTTGAAGGAAAATTCAGGCAAAAAAATAAGATTTTAGTCTGTCTGAAGTTTAAGAAGCCATACTTTGCACATTTGAGGTGACTCTGCTCAGGGAAGCTCCTTTTACTGGATCCCAACCCAGAGCTACAGGTCTCGTTTACGACACAAGCCGCATGCTTATTCAGTGTGTATTATAAAATGGAATATGCACCAAAGAAAAATTAAATATGTGAAGGTCTCTAGTTCCTAAAAAATAGTGAACCATCTACAGAGGCTAGCCTCTGGGTATACTTTAACTGATAAGTTTATAATCAGCCAACAGGAAGAAAGGCAGTCGGGCAGTGTTTATTTATAGCATAAAGCAGAAAATGAGGGGGAAATTCCCATCGGCTATGTGGGATCTCATTTCTTATTTCTTTCTACTAAAGCCACTGCAACGTGTGGTCGTGAGCGAGTATGAAACTTAAACTACATATGTACCGAGAAAATGAAAACATCACCATCCAATAATGGCATGAGAGGTTTATTGACTACAATGCGAGTGACGCCTGAGAAGAAGCAATGATTTAAAAACACCCAAGACCCTCACGTAGCAAAGGTTAAGAAATAAATTAAGACTCCTATTGGACTGTGGTGGGAGGAATGGCGGGCCTCATTCACTTCGATCTTTGGGTTCTCGATATTTCCACTGGATGTAATCAAAGATGTCTTTCTCACTATCCACTGGCAGGGGCTCCCCAGCAACACCTGCAAAGAGAGAGAGAACAGAACCCCAGGTAAGTGGGACTCACCTTCGGAAGGAAAACAAAACGAAACAACGCAGAGCAGCGCCACACCCCCGCGCGGCTCACGTGTGAGCTTTGTCACGTGTACTGCAGCACTTCCCAATGGCATGGAGGTGACCCCGATTCATGATTTACCTCTCTGCTGGTCTTTTTGTTGTTGTTTTCTTTAAGAGAGATTTTTGCTATGGGGCACATGCGCTTGCCAGAGAGAGAGAGAAAGTGAGAAATCCCCCAGGGGGATGACCAGGCCGCAACCCCCTCTCCTCCATTCCCCTCTTGGGATCTTGGGCATGCACACACACGTGCCCAGCATGGTTTTGTTTTGAGAGTTTTTTTTGCTATAGGGTACATGTGCTCGCCAGAGACAGAGACAGAGAGACAGAAAGTGAGAAATCACCCCCCAGGGGGATGACCACACTGCAGTCCCTTCTCCTCCATTCTCTCGGGATCTTGGGCACACATGAACACGCGCCCAGCGTGAGTTTAAGCCACCGGGTCCAGGACTCAAACTGTGGTCGACTACATGGGAGTGCAGTGACATAGCCATTAGGTCAACTGCTGGTCCCCAGTTTTAAACCTTTAGAGAAAAATGACAAAAATTTCTTCTCCTGATGGAGAACAATAAGCCACATAGTATATTGTGTAATGCTAGCAAGACCCTTAAAGCATAAATTAGGCAATTCTTGTTTCTTAAACTTTTAAAAAAATTTTGCTACAGGCACTTGTGCTTGCAAGAGAGAGAGAGAGGGAGAGGGAGAGGGAGAGAGAGAAGGAAAACGAGAAATCACTCCCTGGGGGGATGGCCAGGCCACAATCCCTTCTCCACTCTCCTCTCAGGATTTTGGGCATGTACACACATGCACCTGGTGTTTTTCAAGCTGCCAGGTCTGGGATTCTAATCACATAGCCAGCCACGTAGGATCTAGAGCCTTAACAGCATGCTACCGGCTGGCCCTTGAAACTTTAAATTCATGAGGCCAAGGTCACCCAGTTATGTGTGGCACTAGAAGCAACGATACTGAGTCCTTTAGAAGTCTTAAAAGTTTCTTAGAAACTGATGGCCTTTCATTGAGGCCTGGGAGCACCTTCTGGATTGAAGTCCCTTTTGTTGCCCAAGGGACCAACGATATAAAGAAACTGCAATTAGCTGGCATATGTTATAAGGAGACTTTTGAGAAAACCTGAATTTGCTAAGGGAAAACACTTTTGAAAGTAGCATTCTCTCCCAGTGACTGGGACCATCTCTGAGGTAGACACAGTCACTCACCAGTGACTCCCACGGGGCGGATGGTGTACTCGTTGATTGTGAAGCCCTTTTCTAGGGCATGAGCTCTCATGTTCTTGTTGAAAATATCACTCCCAGTGAAATAGAGAACACCACAATAGTACTGATCTTTGGGTATCAACCTACAAAACAAAGAGTAAATAACATTTTTTTACAACACATGTCAAAGTCAGCAAATCCAGGATCCTCCTAAAGTCAGTGAGAAATGAAATATGTAAAATAAGCCTCTGTGGCCTAAGAACCTGGAAAGGAGACACATTAGAAAGACCATGGGGTCGCCCCAGCGTGGCAGTCTGTTCAGGTCTCGGCAAACCGGCCCGCGAGAAGTGAGCAGAGAGGCCCAGCGTCACTTAGTACAATGGCTTTCCCTGGGAGGAGCTGTCCTGGAACCGGGGAGGACATCCTGGTGGGGGCATCTCTACCGAGCACAAGCCAGAGTCCGGACAGTCACGATCTGCTCGTGTCTTCAGACGGATGCTGTGTGTGGCAGGAACACCTACGGCCCTTTAGGGTAAAAAGGACTTCTAGACATTTATGTGAACTCCAAGATAAACACAGAGGTGAGAAAAGACAAGAAGGGAAAGACAGTAAGTCAGAAACAAGGTGGGAATAATACCTGATATCAATTCTTCTGTGTGGATACTCCTTTTCATCATTCTTGCTGGGAAGCTGGCAGACACCCTAAGATAAATATTTACAGAATGCTGAAAGATATTTTTAAACTTAAGGCTTAATTTTAATCAAATGTTAAATGTTAGGCTATTTTAGCTTTCAATGGTGGCAGTTTTAGAATTAAGGCCCTCCTCCCCCTTTCTTTTAGATTTTTTAACTATAGGGTATGTGTGCTTGCTGGAGAGGGAGACCTTAGGGATTTGGGGCACTCGTGCACAAGCGTCAGGTGTGATTTTTCAGCTGTCAGGTCTGGGACTCAAACCACGGTTGGCCATGTGGAAGTCCAGTGCCTTAAACACCATGCCACTGGCTAGTTCCCCATTCTAAGCCTTTTTAACTTAGTCATAGTCTCAAGTAATAGAAGATATTCCACCCATAAAATAAGGGTGGAACACTACAGAAAAAGAACTCTCAGGGGAAAGGCTTAAATCATAATTAAAAATATGGCAGAAGTAGTAGAGATTGAAACTGAGAAAATCCTAAGAAATCAAAAGAGAGACAATAATAAATGATTAAGAAATTAAAGATTAAAAATTGCAGGATCATTTTCCTCCTTCTTCATAGGTGAGTTTTTATTATATTCCTTAGTTTTCAAACAGAAATAATCAGTTTTTCTGTCATCTTTTCCTTTTTCAGCAGGTAGCATAGTGGTTAAGGTGCTGGACTCCCAGGTGGTTGCCTGCGGTTCTAGTCCTGGACCTAGAAGCTTGAAACACCAGGCAAATGTATGTGTGTGCCCAAAATCCTGAGAGGATAATGGAGAAGGGATTGTATCCACCCGTGTGTGTGTGTGTGTGTGTGTGTGTGTGTGTGTGTGTGTGTGTGTTTTCTTGCTTTCTGTCTCTCTGGCAAGTACACAGGACCTATAGCCAAAATAACACATGTAAATAGAAAGAGTTATCAATATCAATTTTTAAATTAAAAGTGTAAATGCCATACTCTAAGAAAAGTACATGTGACAGGCTTCTGAGCTAAGTAGCAGGCATGTAATACACATGTCACTAAAAAAAACCATACTTTGTCACTCAGCAAAATAGAGCAGTTGCATTTTTATTCTTTTTTTTTTTGGAGAGGGTTTTGCTATAGGGCGCGTGCGCTTGCCAGACAGACAGAGAGAGACAGAGAGATAGAAAGCAGGAAATCACCCCCCAGGGGGGATGGCCACGCCGCAATCCCTTCTCCTCCATTCTCCTCTCGGGATCTTGGGCATGCACGCACACGCGCCCGGCGT